GGCACGCTACACCATGCTCAGCGAGGCCGGGGCCTGCGGGCTGTGGGTGGAGGAGAAGGAGCAGTGGCTCAACGGGCTCACCCTGCCCGAGCGCCTGGAGGACCTGGAGGTGGTGCAGCAAAGGTAGGCCCCCTGCAGGCTCCCTCCGGAATGGCCTTGTGAGTTGGGGGGCTGGGGAGAGGTATGGCCTGTCCCACTGGAAACTGCCTGCTCTTGCTGTATCCCTTTGAGTCTGGTCTTTTGTTGTTGTTTTAATGAAAACTGCTAAACATACTCAAAAGTAGAAAAGATTGTGCAACAAACTCCTATATATCCTCCACCCGGGTTCAGTAATTATTAATATCTTGCTCTATTGGATTCATTTTCCTTTTCAAAAGCCAATCCCCAATATTATCATTTCATCTCTACATTCTCCAGAATGCATCCTTTAAGAAATATGAGGAAGTATTCTTAAACTTATTTTTTTAATTGTGTGTGTGTGGACTTAAAATAGCTAAGGCTTTGAAGTTATAAACCTTTAGATAGAGACACTGATTGACCTCATGAAGTAGCTTGATTTACAGAATAATAAATGTTAAAATCATATAGAAAGGTCGTATTTTTTATAGAACCACAATATCATTATTACACAGAACAAAATTAGCAATGCCTTACTATCATCTACTACTCACTCTATAGTCAGATTTCTTGGTGGTTTTAAAATAGTTTTCAAATTATCCCATGGCGGGTTGGCAAACTACAACCCTTGGGCCAAATCCGGCCCACAGCCTGTATTTGTAAATAAAGCTTTATTGGAACAGAGCCACACTCATTCATCTACACATCATTCAAAGACAGCAGAGCTGAATACTTGTGACAAAGACCATATGGCCCACAATCCTAAACTATTCACTATGTGGCCCTTTACGGAAAATGTTTGCTGACAATCTCTGAGAATGTAAAATGTCCCTGGGAGAAATTATGCTTCACATCTTTATCAGTTACATATTTTTGGTTATCAGTTCATTTTTAACATGGGTCCCAGATAGGCAGCTAAGGAGTAAGGACCAGAGGACTAAGGTAGGTTCTGGTGAAGGCTGGGGCCCTGTGCCAGGATTAGGCCCTGGCCGTTAACTTTTACATCTTTTTGAGCAACTCTAGAGACGACCGTTTTTCTACTTGTTTAGGGGAGTTGGGGACTCCCCCTTGACCCACAGAGACTATGAGCCTTGTAGGTAAGAGGTGAGAGGCTCCTATAAACAAGCTTCTTGCTGACGGAGAGGAGTTTCCATGGGTGTCTAGGGAGGTTGCAGGTGCATCACCACCTCCTGCCGATCTTACTCGGCTCTGCCACCCCCTCAGGTTCGAGACCCTGGAGCCAGAAATGAATGCCCTCGCAGCTCGAATTACTGCCGTGAACACCATTGCAGAGCAGTTGCTGCAGGCCAACCCCGCGGGCAAGGACAGCATCGTCAACACCCAGAAGCAGCTCAACCACAGGTGGCTGGAGGGCGGGACTAGGGAACTGAGAGAGGACACAGCAGATGGGATGGCAGCCAGAAGAGTTCTGTAGGGCATGTGATGGAGGTCAAAAATGTGGTGGGAAGGTGGTCTGGAAGATGCTGGGGGTAGGGGAATAATGAAAGATGAAAGGGGGCAAGGTCGTGTGAAGAGGCTGGAGCCTGGACAGGGAGCAATAAGATGGAGACAAGAGGATGGAGGGGGTGGGGAGAGAGAGGCAGGGAAGAAGCTTCCAGGTGTACCTGGACAGGGCGGGAAGCTGAGCCACTCCAGACATCAGACCCTCCCTCCACTCTCAGGTGGCAGCAGTTTCGGTCCCTGGCGGATGGCAAGAAGGCAGCTCTGACATCAGCCCTGAGCATCCAGAACTACCACCTGGAGTGCACGGAGACCCAGGCCTGGATGAGAGAAAAGACCAAGGTCATCGAGTCCACCCAGGGCCTGGGCAATGACCTGGCTGGGGTGCTGGCACTGCAGCGCAAGCTGGCCGGCACCGAGCGGGACCTGGAGGCCATCGCCACCCGGGTGGGTGAACTGACTCGAGAGGCAAATGCCCTGGCTGCTGGCCACCCCGCCCAAAGCTCTGCCATCCATGCCCGGCTTGGAGAGGTGCAAGCCGGCTGGGAGGACCTCAGGGCCACCATGAGACGTCGAGAGGAGTCGCTGGGTGAGGCACGGCGGCTGCAGGACTTCCTGCGCAGCTTAGATGACTTCCAGGCTTGGCTGGGTCGCACGCAGACTGCTGTGGCCTCTGAAGAAGGGCCGGCCACCCTGCCTGAGGCAGAGGCCCTCCTGGCCCAACACGCAGCCCTGCGGGGAGAGGTGGAGCGGGCCCAGAGCGAGTACAGCCGGCTGCGGGCCTTGGGTGAGGAGGTGACCCGGGACCAGGCCGATCCCCAGTGCCTCTTCCTACGGCAGCGACTGGAAGCCCTGGGAACCGGCTGGGAGGAGCTGGGCCGCATGTGGGAGAGCCGGCAGGGCTGCCTGGCCCAGGCCCATGGCTTCCAGGGGTTCCTGCGGGATGCTCGCCAGGCCGAGGGCGTGCTCAGCAGCCAGGTGAGAGCCCAGGGCATAAGTCAGGACGAAGCGGGAAGTAGGGACAGGGGCATGTGAAGGAGAGAGGTGGATGGGGAGGGATACGGCAGCAGGTGGGGTAGTTGAGGAAACAGGATGGGCAGGAAGAACATGTTAGAAAAATATGGACCATGACTTACCAAAATTGACATAAGCTGGCTTGTCATATAATTACTAAAGAAACGGACTCAATAGCTAGAAAGGGGGTGGAATAGGATTTGGACCCTTAAAGCTTCTCCAGCCCAGCTCCCTATAACTTCCTGAGATTCCACGCAGTCAGGCACCATCCCGCCTGACCTACGGCTGGGCGGTCTGCCCTGCCCTCCCTGGGTGGCCTCTGTGTCTGAGAACCGAGTTCTGCTTTGAGAAGCGAGCTGGCTACCTCCCCTCCCACACAGGAATACGTTCTGTCTCACACGGAGATGCCAGGGACACTCCAGGCTGCGGACGCTACCATAAAAAAACTGGAAGACTTCGTGAGCACCATGGACGCCAACGGGGAGCGGATCCGCGGGCTCCTGGAGGCCGGGCGGCAGCTGGTGTCTGAGGGCAACATCCACGCGGAGAAGATCCGAGAGAAGGCGGACTCCATCGAGAGGAGGTAGGATGAGGACGGGGCCGATGGAGGGTTCGAGAGGGAAATGAGTGAAAGCAGGGTGGCCTCAAAGATGGAGAACACGGAGGTCAGCCTGGCCGATGGGGCTGGGGGGCTGACAAGAAGTAGAGGAAGGAGGGCCCAGTGGTCAGAGAGGGCCTAAGCCATGGGCTGGGAAGTTCTGCCTTCCTCACACGGGAGCAAATGAAGTCACCCAGGGGAGCTGGGCGCTGGATCGGACTCTGGCTGTTCTACAATGTACCTGGAAGGCACTGTGCCCAGAGGAGGAGGACTGGAGGCTTCGGGGTTAGTTGGAGGGTCATGAGCCCTTCACAGCCAGTTCAAGAGTTTCACAAGGGGCTGTCGTTACAGACACGGGAAGAATCAAGAAGCAGTGCAACAGCTTTTGGGACGTCTTCGGGACAACCGAGAGCAGCAGCATTTCTTACAAGATTGTCATGAGGTGAGGCTCAGTTCCCCCTGTCCCCTCCGACACGCCCCAGCCATCCCTTCCACGGCGCCCTGGCTCTTTGAGCCAAGAACTAGTCCATTGCCGTGTCCCCTGAGCAGGCGAAGCCCGCCCAGCTTCTCCCACATCCGCCACTTCTCCCCGCTCACCTGCCCCCACTTTATGCCTCGCTCTTCCCTCCCTCTGAGATGTACGTGCCTTTCTCCATCCCTGCTCTGTGCCTGTCCAGCTGAAACTCTGGATCGATGAGAAGATGCTGACGGCCCAGGACGTGTCCTACGACGAGGCCCGCAACCTGCACACAAAGTGGCAGAAGCACCAGGCGTTCATGGCGGAGCTGGCCGCCAATAAGGACTGGCTGGACAAGGTGGACAAGGTGAGCGGGGCGATGGGGCAGCAGGACGAGACCCCTGGGCTTCTCTGGGCAGGTCCCAGCCACAGTGCAGGGGAGGACCCAGGCTTCGGGATGTGGCTCTTTCAGGGTCAGAGGTCATGGGGCCTCCCATGCCAACCTTCCAAGGTGGGAAATCCCACCCTGAGGAACAAACGTTCTAGGTCTATGGGACAGTGACTCCAGAACGTTGAGAAAATACAAATTAGTAAGGAGCCAAACTGCGGTTTTGGGTCAACGCAACAACTATTCCGGGGTCCAGAGCAGGATGACAGTCCTCCGCAGGGTCAGCACTTCCTCTGGAACAGGCCGGTGGTGAACACTTCAGGATTTTTGAGCCTTACCGTTTCTGCTGCGACCGCTTAATTCTGCCATCGTAGTGGAAAGCAGCCACAGGAATACACAAATGGACAGTGTAGCTGTGTGCCAGAAAAACTTGATTTATAAAAACAGGGCCGCAGTTTGCCAGCCCCTGCTTTTGAGTCTTGTTATTCCTGGTATTTGCTCTCCCACCCAGCTCTTCCTCAAGAGCTGAGCACAGGCAAAACTTTATTTCTACTCAACAAGTGTTGCTGGGCAAGATTAATGTGCTCAGCACTCTGCTAGGGGCTGCACAGTATATAGAAAAGATACTTTCCTTCCCTCAGGGGCACACTGGTTGGGCAGAAGAGGAGACCAGTGTGTATTCCGTGTTTCCATTTGTTCCGCAAACATTTACTTGGTGCTACAATATGCAAAGCCTTGTATATTGAGGGGGGACAGGTGATGCCACTGCGGGCTCTACCCTCCAGGATGCCACTGTGGCCAGGATCTGAGTCATATACACAAGTAGATACGTTAAATATAAAGCAGAATATTGGGAGCACAGTAAGAGAACCAATAAAGCCTGGACTCTGAGAGACGGGGTGGGAATCCTAGAAGCAGGAGCCTCAGGCAGGCGTGAAGGGTGAGTGGGATTTGGACGAGCAGAGATACTGGAGGGAAGATATTTCTAGGTAGAGACAGTGCAGCTGGAAACCAGAGAGGTGGAAGTGGGTGTCTATATAGGAGCCAAGGGATAAGCCAATCTAGGAACACAGAATGCGTGAAGGGGCCCCAGGGAGGAAAAGGTGGGAAAATCCTGGGCCAGAAATGGTCATGAAAAGCCCTGATCACCACGTAAGGACTGTGCATAATCCACTAAAGGTTTGTGAAGTTACCCCAGCAGCGTTAGACTCTGATACTGTGTGTTGTGATTTCTGTTCCCCTGAAGCAGGGCTTCCCGTGCAGGCCATTAGAATGGGAGTTGGTCATAGGAAACACCCGTGGGCAGTGGGCAGCTGAGACGGAGCGGGGTAGGTGGTCAGGAAAGGGCCCCCTGCCACGCTGGCTACCCCAGTGGGCAGCTGGTGCTCAGTCCTAATGTGGCGCCCTGGGCGCCGAGCATGCGTCAGAGTCATCCCAACCAAAGCACCAAAATGCTGTTTGTCCACCACTCCGTCCATCACTGCCTTGCCTGCAGGTCGAGGGACTCTGCTTCCCTCACCTCCCCAGAAACAAAGCCCTCCAGCAGAAAGGCTGGGAGTGGGGGGACAGGAGAGATTCACTTGCCACAGGTCAGGTGAGGGGTGAGGAGCTGAGAAAGACGAAACGATAACAAATAACACAAGACCATGTGCGATGTATCACTAGAAACGGCAAGCACTGGGGAACTCGAATTAGGGGAGATCGCAGAGGCTCCTTAGTTGAGATGAGATTTGAGCTGGACCTTGAAGGGGAGCTGAGTGTGATCAGCAGCAAGGTAGGGAAGTTTAGAGGGGGATCCAAACCTTCGAGAAGAGCATGTTAAGGAGGACACACAAGAACTCGGAATTATTGCTCACACTTAGGTCCCTGCTGCCCTTTAGTTCTCTGGCCTGTACAGCGCTGTGGTGTCTAATTCTGACACTTACTCTTCTTTGCCCCACCACCCAGGAAGGGCGGGAGCTGAGCCTCGAGAAGCCAGAGCTGAAAGCCCTGGTGTCAGAGAAGCTGGAGGACCTGCACAGGCGCTGGGATGAGCTGGAGACCACCACCCAGGCCAAGGCCCGCAGCCTCTTCGATGCCAACCGGGCAGAGCTGTTTGCCCAGAGCTGCTCTGCCCTGGAGAGCTGGCTGCTGAGCCTGCAGGCCCAGCTGCACTCGGATGACTACGGCAAGGACCTCACCAGCGTCAACATTCTGCTCAAGAAGCAGCAGGTGCGCGGGAGCCTTTGCTGGAGTGATGAGTGCAGGAGACGGGAGAGGCAGCCTGTAGCTCTGGAGATTGGGGAGGTCGTTCTCAGACACCCCAAGGCTCAGTTCTGGAACCTTTGGCGAGGGCAGAGGCCCGCTGATGGCATTGGGAATTTGCTGGGGAATCACGGGCCAGAGCAGGTGTGAAGCTGGCAGGCCAAAGCTGGCCAGCAGGACGTCGTCACTGATGCCAGGGAAACCTGCTGGGGGGTGATAGCCACTGGGTCTCCTGGACACTGCGGGCAGTTTTGCGGAGGCGCTGGAAGAAAAGCCAAAAGCAGAAGCCCCCCTCTCTGTGCCTGTGGTGTCCCTCCGTCACCCTCTACTGGCAGGGCCCAGCATTGCACCAGCTGGCGAAGGAGAAGTATCTCCAGGGTCCAGTTCTCATGTCTCCAACAGGGCAGGAAAGGTGGATTTGGGACTGCGAGGCAATGGATTGCTAACTGGCACAGTTACGAGGGCCCCCTTCCCCGGACTCCTATGTATATTAAAGCTTGAGGTCCACTGTCTAGGCCGGGAGGGATGCTCTCCCTGGGCTGAGCCCAGGGTAAGTAATCACGATGGGCTTGATATTGACTAGGGTCCCCTCTGAGGTCGATGGTGGAAGCGCGGGGATAACATCTTCCTCTTGCGGGTCGGCAGATGCTGGAACGGGAGATGGCCGTGCGGGAGAAGGAGGTGGAGGCCATCCAGGCCCAGGCCAAAGCTCTGGCCCAGGAAGACCAGGGTGCAGGGGAGGTGGAGAGGACCTCGCGGGCTGTGGAGGAGAAGTTCAGGGCCCTGTGCCAGCCCATGAGGGAGCGCTGCCAGCGCCTGCAGGCCTCCCGCGAGCAGCACCAGTTCCACCGGGATGTGGAGGACGAGATCGTGAGTCCCTAGGGTCGGGGATCCGGTAGCCTCGTCCCCACGGCAAACTGCCCCCGGCCTTGCGCTGGGGAAATGGCAGCCGTGTTCTCCTCCCCTTTGGCATTGAAAACCAGCCCTCTAGGGACACTTGGGGATGCCCTGGAAGTCCCTTTTCCCCAGAACCAGAGATGGTCGTTTCCTGCACACACACCAGGAGCCCTAGAACACCTCCCCCCAGCTGACCCGCTCTCCAGCTCCCAGCTTCTACTTTGCCCTGCGGACCTCCACTCACCCCTCCTTTCTCATTCAGTTGTGGGTGACGGAGCGTCTGCCCATGGCCAGCTCCAGGGAGCATGGCAAGGACCTGCCCAGTGTCCAGCTCCTCATGAAGAAAAACCAGGTGAGGCAGAGGCGAAAGGCAAAAGGCAAGGTCCCAAGAGCCTCCTGGGACAGGGAGATGGTTTTTCTTAAGACCTGGGGGTTCTCTGGCTCCCCTTCGATGCTGGGTGTGACCCTAGACTTCATGGTTGGCCTTCGCTAGCCGTGGAGGGTGGGTTCCCTCAGGAAAAGATCATGGAATTGAAGGAGCTTTACCACCATATCCTTGGGCCGGAAGGGAGGGGAAGTGCAGAGGATTCAGGAAGGAGGAGAAGCAAGAGTGTGAGGGGGCTTGATGTTGAGTAGGTGTAAGGGGGTCCCTTAGCAAGCTTTTCAGTGTGTGCTCTTCTGCTGCTGGGGACAGACGCTGCAAAAGGAGATACAAGGCCACGAGCCACGGATTGCGGACCTAAGGGAGCGGCAGCGTGCCCTGGGTGCGGCCGCGGCAGGCCCGGAGCTGGCTGAGCTACAGGAAATGTGGAAACGCCTGAGCCATGAGCTGGAGCTTCGAGGGAAGCGACTCGAAGAGGCCCTGCGAGCCCAGCAGTTCTACCGAGATGCCGCCGAGGCCGAGGCCTGGATGGGGGAGCAGGAGTTACACATGATGGGCCAGGAGAAAGCCAAGGTGAGGGCCAGGGCAGAGCCAGGCTGTCACCTGCTTCTCTCCTCCCCGTGACCCTCCCTGATGACCACTGTCCGGCCCCCAGGATGAGCTGAGCGCCCAGGCCGAGGTGAAGAAGCATCAGGTATTGGAGCAAGCCCTGGCTGACTACGCCCAGACCATCCACCAGCTGGCAGCCAGCAGCCAAGACATGATTGACCACGACCACCCAGAGAGGTGAGCACGGCGGCATCAGGGGACCCAGTGCTTGGGGGAGAGGGGAGCAGCTCCAAGAAGGTGCAGGGATCATGGAGCCTCCCGTGTACGTGCACACAGATCCGTCCAGGAAGGTGCCGTTGGTTGGCTAAGAGGGACAGGACTCTACGAGGCAGGCTGGGGATCCGAGCAGGGGATCCTAAGTGCTGGGCCGCTCCCCCTCCCCCACAGCACACGGATATCCATCCGCCAAGCCCAGGTGGACAAGCTGTACGCTGGCCTGAAGGAGCTGGCCGGAGAGCGGCGGGAGCGCCTGCAGGAGCACCTGAGGCTGTGCCAGCTGCGCCGTGAGCTGGATGACCTGGAGCAGTGGATCCAGGAGCGCGAGGTGGTGGCAGCCTCGCACGAGCTGGGCCAGGACTACGAGCACGTGACGGTGAGTGCGGAGAGGACACCAGCCGCCAGTCAGCTCCTGGGCAAGTAGAGGTCCCCCTGGGAGACTGGGGCCCCATCCTGCGCGGGCAGCACGGGGTGGGTGCAGACCAGGCTGAGCAGCACTGTCCTCCTGGGTTTTGAGGTGTTTAAGTTGAAGAATTGTGCAGAAAGGAGGACTGAGGCTGTGCACAGAACTGGGTGAAAAGGAAATTAGCAATCACTCTTTTCCAGCAGAACTAGACAGTGTAAGGTACCCCTGTCTGTAGGCTGAAGGTTGCAAGCGCCCCCACTGCCTTGTTGAGGGCCTGGGTGTTCATCAGATCCAGGGTCACTGGGAACCACTGGCATCTGCTCACGGGCTTAGCCCAGCTGGAGAAGCCTGTTTTGGTCCGTGTGGCCCAGGGGAGAGAAGACTCACCCCCGCCCCCCGTCCTGTTAGGCAGGGGCCAGAGTCAGAGTTGTCTGTGCACCTGTTCCCTCCACCAGATGCTCCGGGACAAATTCCGAGAGTTCTCCCGGGACACGAGCACCATCGGCCAGGAGCGCGTGGATAGTGCCAACGCATTGGCCAACGGGCTCATCGACGGGGGCCATGCCGCCCGGGCCACCGTGGCCGAGTGGAAGGACAGCCTCAACGAGGCCTGGGCTGACCTGCTCGAGCTGCTGGACACGCGGGGTCAGGTGCTGGCAGCTGCGTATGAGCTACAGCGCTTCCTGCACGGGGCCCGCCAGGCCCTGGCGCGGGTGCAGCAAAAGCAGCAGCAGCTTCCCGATGGGACCGGCCGAGACCTCAACGCGGCCGAAGCCCTGCAGCGCCGGCACTGTGCCTTCGAGCACGACATCCAGGCCCTCAGCGCCCAGGTCTGACTCAGCAAGTGAGGTCAGGGGTGGCTTGGAGGGGACTTGGTAGAAAAGGCCAGGGGGCCCCTCAGAAATGCCGGGGTTGGCATCCTCTGGAAGGCCATTTAGGGATGAGGTGGAATTGCTCTATGTAAACATCTCTGGCCAGAGGACATCTCACCACCACATTCACACCTTCAATGACAAGCCTCCTGAGGGCCCGTGACATTGTCACATGGTCCCAAAGGCTCAAGTATTCTTCACGTTGGACTAAAATCCAGCTATCGGGCCCACCCAACTAGAGCTCTAGAACCACACAAACCAAGCAAAGATCCTTCCTGCAACCATTTAAACCCAGTCACCCCCCATCCAATCCCTCTTTCAGGCTGAAAATCTCATTCTAGCCATTCCGGGGGTCTCTCACGTCTTGGACAAGCCTCTGAAAGCCCAACTGGCTAGTCGCCCTTCTAAAGGGCTGCTCCCCAGGCTAAGCCCAGGCTCCCACTTGGGACCCAACAGGGCAGAGTATGACAAAGCTTACTCTGAGCACCAGCTGTCATCTTTCCCAGCCCTCACCCCCTGCTCCTCCTCTGCTCCTCTAGCTGGTAAATGGGCAGGCCGGGCGAGCAGAGGCCAGGGTGGGGCGTGGGGGAGGGTGGGGCGTGGGGGAGGAGACTGCAGCTCCTCAGAGTCTCCAGCTCTGCCTGACTCGGAGCTGGGCCCTGCAGGTCCAGCAGGTGCAGGACGATGGCCACCGGCTGCAGAAGGCCTACGCCGGAGACAAGGCCGAGGAGATCGGCCGCCACATGCAGGCTGTGACGGAGGCCTGGGCCCAGCTTCAGGGAAACTCTGCTGCCCGCCGCCAGCTGCTGCTGGACACGACAGACAAGTTCCGCTTCTTCATGGCTGTCCGGGAGCTGATGCTGTGGATGGACGGGGTGAACCTGCAGATGGATGCCCAGGAGCGGCCCCGGTGAGGCCCGCGGTGCCCGTGGCCTACAGGGGTTGGGAGCTGGTGGCTGGGAAAGGGTCGTGGGCAGCAGGGTTGTGATGTGGTCTCTGTACCCCCAGGGATGTGTCCTCCGCAGACATGGTTATCAAGAACCACCAGGGCATCAAAGCAGAGATCGAGGCCAGGGCCGACCGCTTCTCCTCTTGCATCGACATGGGGCAGGGGCTGCTCGCCAGGAGCCACTATGCAGCTGAGGAGGTGGGCGAGGCCTGGGCACAACCGGGTCATCCTTATGGCGGAGGCCTTAATGCTGCGTTTGCTCCCAAGTCTTTCTGCTTCCTCATCCTTTCTTTACAGAAACCGTTCACTCTCTCTCCCCTCAGTGCTGTTCAGGGAGTCCCATTCCATCCGCCCGCCCCCCGCTGCCCAGAACTGTCTGCCTCTTGAAATCAGAAATCACTAGTTCCCCTGTGTCAATCCCCCAGAGTCTCCGAAAAGCCCAGCAGGGTGCTAACTCGCATCTCTGCCTCCTCCCCCCCCAACCCCTCCCCCCCTCCTAGATCTCAGAGAAGCTGTCTCAGCTGCAGGCACGGCGCCAGGAGACCGCAGACAAGTGGCAGGAGAAGATGGACTGGCTCCAGCTTGGTGAGGGTGCCAGGCCTGCCAGGAGGGGCTGGGGGTCTTGAATCCTGTAGTTTCCAGAGTCAGACCAGGAATCCTGGGCATGGAGTTCGAGGCTCCCGCCCTTGGCTCTGCCCTGTGCTCCTGCTTTGGGGCAGTAGCGTTCTCTGTGCCCTAATTTTGACATGGTTACAGTGCTCTGCTGATGTCCACTCTGACCTGCCGTTTCCTGTGATCCCCGCCCCCATCCCTGCAGTTTTGGAGGTGCTCGTGTTTGGAAGAGACGCAGGTATGGCCGAGGCCTGGCTGTGCAGCCAAGAGCCACTGGTGCGAAGTGCTGAGCTGGGTTGCACAGTTGATGAAGTCGAGAACCTCATCAAGCGGCACGAGGCCTTCCAGAAGTCAGCAGTGGCCTGGGAGGAGCGTTTCAGTGCGCTGGAGAAGCTCACCGCGGTGAGGGCCACAGGACCCCAGGGATGCCCGCCCCGTCCCGCTACCCTGGGCCTGTGCTCCCTTTCGCTGGAAGAAGACAGTTCCTCTCCTCCCACTGCACCAGCATCTCCCAGATGTGAGCCAAGAGTGCCATGTTGTCACCACAGCTTTAGGAGTCGTCATTCCCCCGAGTGACGCTGTGAGACACCTCCTCCCCCGTTTCTTCTCGTGGAATTATAGTTTCCTTTCTGTGTCCACAGACCAGAGCTGAGACATTTCATCTTCCCCACCTCCCTGGTCCTTTTAAATGAGACCTTCTATGCTCTGACCTCAGAATGTTTTGACAGTTGGAGGAGCAGGAGAAGGAGCGGAAAAGAAAGAGAGAAGAGGAGGAACGGAGGAAACAGCCCCCTGCTCCGGAGCCCACAGCCAGTCTGCCCGGAGGGGTCCTTGAGGACGGCCAGACGGCTCCTGATGCTTCCTGGGACGGGTGCGAGCGGGGGCATCTGGGGAGGAGGAGGAGGCTGAAGCTAAGCAGCCCAAGGACTTACATTATTCTGTGTCATCTGCCGCTCCAGAGCCCACCCCCGGCTACCAGCACCCACACAGGCAGCCAGCATTAACGGAGTCTGCACAGATGGAGAGTCCCCCCAGGTGAGCCCCACGCCCCTGTGCCCTATCAGAATTTCAGCCCCGTGTCCTGCACATACTCTTAAAGCTTCTTGTCCTTGTAGCCCCTGTTGGAACAACAAAGACTTGAGCAGGGCAGCTTCCCAGAAGGGCCTGTGAGTTCCTCCGGGAGGTGTGGGTGTTGATATCTGGAGGGACGAAGAGGGGTATGCGCTGGGTGGTGGGGACACTGAGGTCAGGAGAGGGCAGAGGCTCGAAGGACACTTGGGGGCAGAAAGCCCAGCTGGTGGACTTCAAGCTTCTGACATCCAGGCTAGTTATCGGCCCCCTCATCCTTTGACACAGACTCTTTTCCCCACAGGCGTCTGGCCCAGGAGGCGAGACCAACGGGCCCCAGGGAGAGAGGCAGACCCGGATACAGGGCTCGGCCCCTCCTATCCTGCCCCAGAGCAGGTCATCTGAGTCAGCCCGGGTTGCCACCTTGCCCTCTCGAGGCCCAGAGCTCTCTGCCCAGGAACAGATGGAGGGGATGCTGTGCCGCAAGCAGGAGATGGAGGCCTTCGGCAAGAAGGCTGCCAACAGGTAGCGGGTCTGGCCTCAGTGCTGTGGCCTCTCCAGTCCCTGCCTCTGAAGAGGCTTCCCCAGAACCTCTTGCTAAATAGATGGGAGGAGTGGGGGGTGCCCTGCAGGAGGAGAGTTCTCTAGGGAAGGGGTAGGACTCAGGAGCAGAGTGGGGCCTCCCGAAGGCCAGGAGGGTGTAAAAATGACAGGCCTACGAACAGAGTGGCACTGGAAATCCTAGAACACCCACGCTCTCCCCGGGGCTCCCATAAAAGCTGGTCAGTCTGCCTGTCTCGCTTCGTCACCTGCACCATGTCCCTCCCAGGTCATGGCAGAATGTGTACTGTGTCCTGCGGCATGGGAGCCTTGGTTTCTACAAGGATGTGAAGGCAGCCAGCACGGGAGTGCCATACCACGGAGAAGTGCCTGTCAGCCTGGCCAGGGCCCAGGGCAGTGTCGCCTTTGATTATCGGAAGCGCAAACATGTTTTCAAGCTGGGGTAGGAACAGCACTGTACCCTCAGGATGGGATGGGGAGTCAGAGCGGCATTTGGGGACAGGTGGAGAGATGGGAGAAGCGGGGAGCCAGGGGGTACATTATATTTCACACCAAGGGGAGCAGGAGCTCCAAGACTCAGGCCTGATGGCTGACCATGTCAGGCTGAAAAATTGTCCTGGATGGGATATCTGAGGACAGGGTGCTGGCATTCCCCTGCCTCCAGGGACCTCCAGGAGCCTGCCCCTGCCACCAGCAAGCACCAGAGCTGGAGGCATGGCCTGGGGTGGAAGTGAGGTCACCCTGGTCCTCTGTAGCCAATCAGGAAGCATTGCTTCCGCACAGTCCTGAGACGAGGATGTGCAGAGGTGTCTGACCTGGCTCCGAGGGCCCCAGCAGGCATGTTCTCCAGCCTGGCCTCTGGCTGATGATTGAACTCCTACCAGCACTGATGGGGCCACTCCCGATTCTCAGCTCTGTCCTGAGCCTTCTCTCTCTCCCAACAGCTTACAGGATGGAAAAGAATATTTATTCCAAGCCAAGGATGAGGTGAGCTGCCCCCTCTCCGCCCACACCCCTCTCTCCCATTGCCATTCTTAGAACCTCCAATTGTAGATTCTCCTTTCTTCCCCCTTTGCTCTCTTTTTCCTTAAGTGTCTCATTCTTTGTAATCAGACAGCCCCCAGTGTGCCACCTGGATGCTTGTGAAGGCCACACCAAAACATGTTCCCTGTCTTAAGGGGCCTTTTTCTCCAATGACATGAAATAGTCAAACCATTTTTCTGCCGCCTCCTCCCAAGCTTCCCCGCTGTCCACAGGCCGGAGGCCTCAGCACAGCGCCCTTGAAGCTGACCAGTTGTCTCCATGCTCCCTGTAGGCAGAGATGAGCTCGTGGCTGCGGGTGGTGAATGCAGCCATTGCCACTGCGTCCTCTGCCTCTGGAGAGCCTGAAGAGCCAACGGTGCCCAGTGCCACCCGGGGCATGACCCGGGCCATGACAATGCCCCCAGTGTCACCGGTCGGGGCTGAGGGGCCCGTGGTACTTCGCAGCAAGGACGGCAGAGAACGAGAGCGAGAAAAGCGCTTCAGCTTCTTCAAGAAGAATAAGTAGTTGGGGGCAAGACTCCCCGGCTAGCTCCTCCCTTTGTTCAGGAAACTGCCAGGGACTGTCAACTGGGACCACCCTCTTGTCAGGACAACTGCCTGCTGCTAGGGTCTGTTGCCAAGGTCAGCCCATCACCAGGAACTGTCTCCGGGGACAAGTCAGTGTTCCCATGGACAACCCTTCTCTTCTGCTATTTAATTCCGGACTGGTGGTGGGACCCAGGCAACCCCCGATTCTACTCCCCCGACTTCCCTCTTCCCCGGCCTTAAACCTCGATTCCCACCACAGTGCGGACAGTGCCGCACCCTCAGTGTAGGCCACGTGGGGAATGGCTGCCCCTGCCTCAGGGTCATTCTCCCACCACAGCTAGGGCACGCTGTCTGGTGCCTTGCCCCTGGGGACCAGCCAGGAACCTCTAAGAGCTGAAGCAGGACCTGGGGGCAAGATGGCCGGATGATGGAGTCAGAGACACCGAAGCTCCCCATTCCATCCTTCTTCATCCTCTGACTCAAGCGGCCACTCCATCTCCAGCGACTCTTAATGGCTTCCAGGTGTGAGTTGTTCAGGGGCAACCACAGCCTTGATTGAGTCTGGCCAAGGAGGTGATTAAACAGCTCAGCTTCTCTTACTGCCTCATGGTGTCTTTGCTTTCCTGACCACAAGCTCCCTGCCTGTGCCCATGTTTTCCCCTTTGGCTCCAGTCTCCTATGTGTCCGGTTTCCATTCTGTCCCAGCCTCCAAGCCCTCAAAGAACCACATTATTTTGAGAGCCTCCATACCTTGGTCTAATTTTCCCATGAGAATGACCTCCAGTTTGACCAATGTCAAGCCTCCTTTTAGACCAAAGAAGTTCACCATGGGTCAGAATGATGTGAACAAGCAGTGAACGACTATTTCCCTGGTGTACAGCAGTCTTCACTTGTGATTCTCGCAACTGTTTTCAAAAACAAAAGACTAAAAAAACAAAATTGGAAAGATTGAAGAGCATTGCCACAACCTAGTCTCAGCCATGCTCAGCCCAACTGGAGAATATGGCACGTAGAGGGTGATTACTGATCCCACCTCCTGTCTCCTCCCCAGATGAGAAGATCCAGGGTGTTCGGACAGGGATCAGATAAGTTGTAAGTTCCGAGTCCACTGAAATAGAATAACAATACCTTGAGAAGCCACAAAGTACATCCTAAGTGTATAAATACACAAACGGGAATATTCTAGACCTAGTGAAGTAGAGAAAAAAAAAGGATTCCCCCTTGTCTCTGGCCTGGTAATTGGAGGTTTCAGAGTAAATAGTATTTGCCTTCGAGGCCTCCTACAGGAAAACCTTTGTTCTTTCATTGTTTCCCATTCACACACACACAACCATTTCTTTGGGGGCTCAGAGAAGGTCTTTATAGGGAAGCAGCCCTATCGTTAGCATAATTGGCTAAGGGCCTTGGTTGAGCAGACCCCTGACTATCATCAGTCATGACAAAGACAGGGTCAGGTGTGTGCAGGCCCAGGACTAGCACAACAGCCCCAGAATGGCCTCCAACCATGCGATCTGGTAGACCAGATGGCCCACAGAATATCCCTTTCTCTTAAGAAAATTAGATTTGGAAATATCCGTAGTAAACATGTAGATAAATATAATTAAAACAATCTGTCATGGACTAAATGGAAGAATACATCACCACTGTAACCTCTTGTTCTTCAGGTACAACTGTAAAATCCCCATTATATGAAGGAAAAGTCAGCATTGCGGAATGTTCAGGGAATCTGGGTATTTACACACTAAGAAGGCAGGCCTGGGGGTTGGGAGGAAAGCAATAATTGGAAAATTTAGGAGGAAATGTATATGGGGGTGAGAAATTAATGGAGCAATTATCATTTTAATGTATAAAAGATAAGTGAGGGTCCTACAGAATGGTGCAATCAGTCATTGTGAATGGAAAAGGGATGAAAGTGGGATTTGGGCGTCACGTACATACACATGGCAGCTAAAGCTACCAGAGTGCATGAAGCCTCAAGGACAGGACATAGAAGATAATAAGCCTAAGGTCAGGAAGTAAGTCTTGGGAGACACGTTAGATCTGAGTGGAAGAAAAGTTCCAGGAAAGAAGACAGAATGGTATGGAGCAGTGAGGGATTTGAGACAGGTTAGAGCACAAAAATACAATAATGTGGGCACCACATATCAATGGGGAAATATGGACATAAAAATGGAGTAATTATTTTTAAAAATATGTTTACATTTTTACCTAATACCATCTCCAAAGGTGAATGCTGGATCTGCACTGTCCAATACAGCAGCTGCAAGCCACACGTGGCTACTGAGCACTTGAAATATGGCTAGCTGAATTGAGATGTGCTGTAAGTGCAAAATGCTCACTGGATTTCAAAGACTGAAGAGGAAAAAAAGAAGTTAAGATATCTCATTAAGAATTTTTTTAATATATTTTATTGATTTTTTACAGAGAGGAAGGGAGAAGGATAGAGACTTAGAAGCATCGATAAGAGAGAAACATCGATCAGCTGCCTCCTGCACACCCCCTACTGGGGATGTGCCCGCAACCAAGGTACATGCCCTTGACCCGAATTGAACCTGGGACCCTTCAGTCCGCAGGCCGACGCTCTATCCACTGAGCCAAACCAGTCAGGGCTCATTAAGAATTTTTATATTGCCCTGGCCGATATGGCTCAGTGAATAGAGCGTCGGCCTGCAGACCAAAGGATCCCGGGTTCGATTCTGGTCAAGGGCAGGCTCCTCCCCGGCCCAGGCCCTGGTTGGGACTCTTGCAGGAGGCAACCAATCGATGTGTTTCTGTCATATCGATGTTTCTCTCTGTCTTCCCCTCTCTCTCCCACTCTCCCTAAAAATCAATGGAAAAAATATCCTTGGGTGAGGATTAACAAAAACAAACAAAAATGAATTTTTATATTGATTATATGTTGAAATGATCTTTTAGCTATATTGGGTTTCAAAAGTATTAAAGTTCATTTTACTTTTAAAATATGTTTACTAGACAATTTTAAATTATGTATATGGCTCACATGTTTCTATTTGGACAGCACTGCTCAAAATGAACTACAGACCTAAAAGTGAAAGGTAAAAACATTAATGTTGCCCTGGCCGGTTTGGCTCAGTGGATAGAGCGTTGGCCTGCAGACTGGAGGGTCTCGGGTTCGGTTCCGATCAAGGGCATGTACCTTGGTTGCGGGCACATCCCCAGTAGGGGACATGCAGGAGGCAGCTGATCAATGTTTCTCTCTCATCGATGTTTCTAACTCTCTATCCCTCTCCCTTCCTCTCTGTAAAAAAATCAATAAAATATATTTTTTAAAAAAACATTGATGTTAACAAAATATAAGACTGAAGAGGGAATGATGATAGCTCTCCTCCATCTCCTACACAGATAGTCATTATTGTTTTCACAGCTATAGGTGGAAGGATGGACTGGTTTCTAGAGAACAACCTAACAATTTCACCCTGAGTTTATACCCTCCCAAATTCTCACATGGATCTGTTAGGGCATTAATAATCAGCATAAGGATGCTAATTTCAACCTTGTATACAATGGTGGGGAGTTGGAGGTAACCTGATGCCCTACATTCAGAGATGAATCGGAAAAATATGGTGGTTGCATGCTATGGAGTATTACTCCGTTGTTAGATATGACACAGTAACATAGCACTTAGTGAAAAAAGTTAGAAACAATGAGCTCTACAACACAATTTACATAAATTAGAAGAAACCAAGTGTAAAAAGATATTTGCAAGAATCTAGGGGAAAATCGACTATAAGTATCAGACAATATTAGCATAGCATACGCTAGGTGTTTTAATTAGAGGCAGATAATGAGGCCTTCATAGGAGAAATTACATTATGTCTGGGATTTGCTTTTAAAAACTCCAGCCCTCCTCCAAAAGAGTACAGGGGCTAGATGAAGTATCAGCAAGATGTAATGGCCAAATCTGGGTAAACGGTCCGTAGGAGTTCATTATAATATTCTCAATTTGTGCCTTTTGAAATTTTCCACGTAAAACATTTTAATGGAAAAAGCAAATGTGCCCTAAGAAGACACGTCTTGCAAGAACACAAACAAATAATACACATTAAACTCATTAGAATGATTGCCTACGAGGGGCAGGGAGAGGAGATAAAAGGGAATAGATAGGAGTAAGGAAACAGGTGGGGCCTTGCGCGACTGTGTCCGCGTTCCCCGGTGCCGCCTCCTCACCACTGGGGACGCGAATGGCCAGATCCAGCGGCACAGGGAGCAGCAGGCGCTGCACCTCGAGGTGCGCACCGGCCCGGAGTCGGCAGGCATCGCCCTCTTCAGCCATGAAGTTATATGTGCATTCAAGTGCTCAGTGTCCCGTGAGACGGAGTGCAGCCGCGTGGGCAAGCATCCTTTCCTCATCACCCTGGGCTGCAACAGCGGCCTCATCCAGTTCGCTAAACCCCATGATTTCTGTCCCTTCTACAACACCCTGAAGTCCTGCCGGGGCCGTACCCTGGAACGGGCGGTGTTCAGCGAGCAGACGGAAGAGTCCACCGAGCAGTTTTTCCAGTTTATGGCCACCTGTCCCAGCAGCAGAACATGATGCAGGACGACGTGCGGCAGGCACCTACCAGCGTGCGCTACTGCAGAACCACGCGGACTTCAAGGACAAGTGTCATTTTTTGCCGCCCAAGCTGGAGCAAGGAAGATCTACACGGTGGAGGCCGGCACCATAGCCCAGCGCGCCGAGGTCAGCGGCCCACTGGAACCCCTGCCTGTCCTCCTCCTTCAGCTATATGCCCGCTCTAACCCAGGAAGCTGGCCCCGCTGGGAGCCCCCAGGAAACCTGACCCCCTGGATTTAGGGGATTGTGGGGACATCACTTCTCTTTGGTCTTTTATCCCCCAAACCTGAGCTGAGGTGGTGTCCCCTCCATGACTGGTAGTCAACTGCTGGGTTCAGGGGTGATTTGGGGTCTTCAGAGGCTTGGTGGCCTTGTGCTTCAGGGGACTGTGCAGTCACACAGGCCAGTGGTCTGCCTCTCTGAACCCCACTTCCCACATCTGTGAAATGTTGGTAACAACAGGGTTTCATTTCATTAAAGCTGTCATTTTCTTTGTTCAAAAAAAAAAGAGTAAGGAAACAGGGGAAAGAAATGGAATGGTACAGTCAGAGCTATGCAAAGAAACTGTATAAAAACAGAAGAAAGGATGATGAATGAAATGAAAAGTTTAGAAGGGTTAATACTAATCCAAGGACATTAGTTTTGGTGACCTCAGAAAATTCTGGGAATTGGAGAGAACAGAACCCAAAACAGTGCATAAAGGTGGTTGATGCAGGTTCAGAGCCTCCATTTGTGACGTCGGTATTGTGAAGATGAGTGAAAGCTATTTCAGAAATAGCTAAGGAGGTCCCTATACATGTTTTAAACGTTTGAGGGTGGAGAGAAACTGGAAATGGCCAGAGAATAAGGGAAGGAGAGAGGTAGATACCAGTAGGTGGGAGACAAGCATGACTGTTATTAGAATTGCAAGAACAGTGCCTCTTCTGAATCAGTTGGGAAGCAAAAAGATCCCAGTGAAAGAAACATATCAAAATAGTTGGGGAGGAGGAAGGCAGCCTCAGGAATTCGTGCCTGATGGTATCAGGACAGCTTCTATGAAGCCATCGCAGTGAGGAACGGTGATTGACAATCACCCTGGCATGCTCTACTCAGAGATAAACAGTCCATCTCTCTACAAACGTCTACTCTTTGTTGGAGGGTGACAGGGAGTAACCCACCTGATAGCCTCCCTTTGGCCACCAGGAGGTGCCCTTAGACCACAGCTGAATCTTGAAGGCGCGCAGTGCCCTGGGACTCTCAGTTGTCTAGCCCAGCAGCTTAGTGTGGATGTGGAGCCCCTACCGCCACCCAAGTCAAGGCACCTCTCCGGGCCTTTGCAGCGAGTACTCCTTCGGTGCGCTCACCACAGACGCGGTGCTGCGAGGACACACAGAGCTCATACCCTGGCTGGGGAGAAAACCAGCCACGTCTACACGTGAGCAAACAGAACATGACTCCGGGGAGCCTTGATGGAATGCCTCCTAGAGCTATCCCAGCTCTGCCGGCTTTGGTTCTATTTCCTCATCAATGAATAACATGTTTGCAACGAAAAAAATCTTAATTATGTTTAAAGCTTTACAAAAAATGACTAGGTTTGCTCAAAATGTGTATTTCTAAAATGTTGTACCAAGCTGGCAACCCTTTTTAGGGGACCCAGTGAGGTAACTTTGTCATCAGCTGCCGGCCCCGCTCCCCCGCTGCAGCAGGCCCTTACAGCAGCCCCCATTGTGATGGCTGGTGACACCGGCTTTCTGATTTCACCGGGGCAGCGTTTGCGTCCCGAACCTTTCTGACGCGTGAGCGGCGACCCCCGCTTCCAGGGTGGTGATTGGCGAGTTGGGGCCGGGGGCGGGCTGACCTCTGCTCCGCAGCGCCGTCACCAGCTGGCCCCGCCCCCGTGTCGG